GATCTCCCAGTGGTGGGGGGCCCCATGTATGGGAAGTGGAGGATATCCCAGTGGTGGGGGCCCCTATGAGAAGCGGAGGAACCCCCAGTGGTGGGGTGTCCCCCTATGAGAAGTGGAGGACCTCCCAGTGGTGGGGTGCCCCCCTATGAGAAGTGGAGGACCACCCAGTGGTAGGGGGCCCCATGTATGGGAAGTGGAGGATCTCCCAGTGGTAGGGGGCCCCATGTATGGGAAGTGGCGGATCTCCCAGTGATGGGGGGCCCCATGTATCAGGTATCAGGGTCTCGTAGTTGGGTTCTCTCATTGTTGGTGGCTCTTGCAGTCTTGGTTGTCCTTCTTCTGGCTCCAGGGATGTATGAGGAAGGAGAAGATACATTGTATGAGGATAAAGTGCACAATGTTCAGCCCAATCCTCCTCTCTCCCACCTGGCTGGGGATTGGATGAGTGAGGCGGGCTCTGATAATGAGGAGGGTTGGCATTGGTTGGGTTGGGTGTCTCAGGCTGGGGGAGGGGCTGTCTGGAGAGGTGTGTCTGGGCTTGGCTGCTTTCATTGTCAGTTGAGTCTCCTTCATCTGTGTGAGCTGCAGCCCAGCTGGCTGGGGACAGAACATGTATGTATCTTGTATGTTCCCTGAGTGTCGGTGCGGGCTCTGTATGTTCCCTGAGTGTCGGTGCGGGCTCTGTATGTTCCCTGAGTGTCGGTGCGGGCTCTGTATGTTCCCTGAGTGTCGGTGCGGGCTCTGTATGTTCCCTGAGTGTCGGTGCGGGCTCTGTATGTTCCCTGAGTGTCGGTGCGGGCTCTGTATGTTCCCTGAGTGTCGGTGCTGGCTCTGTATGTTCCCTGAGTGTGGGCTCTGTATGTTCCCTGAGTGTCGGTGCTGGCTCTGTATGTTCCCTGAGTGTGGGCTCTGTATGTTCCCTGAGTGTGGGCTCTGTATGTTCCCTGAGTGTGGGCTCTGTATGTTCCCTGAGTGTGGGCTCTGTATGTTCCCTGAGTGTGGGCTCTGTATGTTCCCTGAGTGTGGGCTCTGTATGTTCCCTGAGTGTGGGCTCTGTATGTTCCCTGAGTGTGGGCTCTGTATGTTCCCTGAGTGTGGGCTCTGTATGTTCCCTGAGTGTCTGTGGGAGCTCCGTGGTTGCCTCGAGTGTCGGTTCCGTGGTTGCCTCGAGTGTCGGTTCCGTGGTTGCCCCGAGTGTCGGTTCCGTGGTTGCCCCGAGTGTCGGTTCCGTGGTTGCCCCGAGTGTCGGTTCCGTGGTTGCCCCGAGTGTCGGTTCCGTGGTTGCCCCGAGTGTCGGTTCCGTGGTTGCCCCGAGTGTCGGTTCCGTGGTTGCCCCGAGTGTCGGTTCCGTGGTTGCCCCGAGTGTCGGTTCCGTGGTTGCCCCGAGTGTCGGTTCCGTGGTTGCCCCGAGTGTCGGTTCCGTGGTTGCCCCGAGTGTCGGTTCCGTGATTGCCCCGAGTGTCGGTTCCGTGATTGCCCCGAGTGTCGGTTCCGTGATTGCCCCGAGTGTCGGTTCCGTGATTGCCCCGAGTGTCGGTGGGAGCTCTGTGCGTGCCCCGAGTGTGTGTTCCGCGGTTGCCCCGAGTGTCTGTGGAAGCTCTGTGTGTGCCCCGAGTGTCGGTGCGGGCTCCGCGGTTGCCCCGAGTGTCGGTGCGGGCTCCGCGGTTGCCCCGAGTGTCGGTGCGGGCTCTGTGATTGCATGCTGTGTGGGGTGATTGCGCTCCGATTGTGGGCGGCACGCGGTGCTCTGTGTACAGGTGATCCTCGCTCTTTGTATTGTGTTTGTAGTTCAGCACTCCCTGTCTTATCTTGCTGTTGTGTATTGCACTGATTTGTGTGTGGAGTGTGATTGGGGCCCCATGGTGGGTATCTGGGGCCCCATGGTGGGTATCAGGAGCCCCCCCCCCCCCCCTCACAATCCCCCCTTTGTCTCTCCTAGGACGAGCTGGCCTCTCGCTGCCTCCGCTGACCTCTAACCTTCGGACTTCTTCTGCCCCCGAGTGATTGGTTCAGAGCCCCCAGGACTGGCCCGCTGGGCACACATGGCACTGTGACACCCCCCCCCACCATGGGCACGGCTGGCATCTGGCTGCTCCTGGCCGGGATCCTGGCAGTTGGTGAGTGCCCGGCTTAGCATGTTCATTGTGATGTACCGGAGATTAATTCTGTGTACGGGGGAGGGGGTGGGCCTGGATCACAAGGGGTTAATGTGCTGGAAGACATTGGACAGATGTTGGCACTTGTGGAGCCCTGCTGAGGTCGGGGATAATCCCCCGGATGGTGGGATAGGTACTGGCACAGTCAGGGTTAATCCTGCGCTGGTGGGCAGATGTTGGGGGGGGGGGGGGCGCAGGGGACGCGATTCTGCCCACACTGATTAGATGAGGGTTACTAGACATGAAAGGTTCAAGGCCAGATGGCCCACGCGTGTATTAGTGGAGGGGGTTCTGTCTGCTTTGTCATGCGATGGGTTAATATGTTGGTGGACATTGAAGTGTTCTGACGCAGCTGCTCCTTTCGGGGTCGGTACTGACACTGTAAACTGCTTACCTGCACTGAAGCAGTTAATAGGACTCTGGTGTACTGGGGGCATCTAATGGGTTAATATGGGCATGGACTACATTGGCTGGCATAGGAGGGGTTAACATGAACTGCGTGGCTGCATGTGAGTCTGTCGGAGCAAGTCTGTACGAAGGCTGAGCGCCATAAAAGGGTTAATATAGGCAAACGTAGGTGCTGGGGCCGAGGGGGTCCAAAGGGTTAATATAGGCAAACGTAGGCGCTTGGGCAGAGGGGGTCCAAAGGGTTAATATAGGCAAACGTAGGTGCTTGGGCAGAGGGGGTCCAAAGGGTTAATATAGGCAAACGTAGGCGCTGGGGCCGAGGGTGCCCAAAGGGTTAATGTAGGCAAACGTAGGCGCTGGGGCAGAGGGTGTCCAAAGGGTTAATGTAGGCAAACGTAGGCGCTGGGGCAGAGGGTGTCCAAAGGGTTAATATAGGCAAACGTAGGCGCTGGGGCCGAGGGGGTCCAAAGGGTTAATATAGGCAAACGTAGGCGCTGGGGCCGAGGGGGTCCAAAGGGTTAATATAGGCAAACGTAGGCGCTGGGGCAGAGGGTGTCCAAAGGGTTAATGTAGGCAAACGTAGGCGCTGGGGCCGAGGGGGTCCAAAGGGTTAATATAGGCAAACGTAGGCACTGGGGCCGAGGGGGTCCAAAGAGTTAATATAGGCAAACGTAGGCGCTGGGGCAGAGGGTGTCCAAAGGGTTAATATAGGCAAACGTAAGTGCTGGGGCAGAGGGGGTCCAAAGGGTTAATATAGGCAAACGTAGGCGCTGGGGCAGAGGGGGTCCAAAGGGTTAATATAGGCAAACGTAGGCGCTGGGGCAGAGGGTGCCCAAAGGGTTAATATGAGCAAACGTAGGCGCTGGGGCCGAGGGGGTCCAAAGGGTTAATATAGGCGCTGGGGCCGAGGGGGTCCAAAGGGTTAATATAGGCAAACGTAGGCGCTGGGGCAGAGGGTGTCCAAAGGGTTAATATAGGCAAACGTAGGCGCTGGGGCCGAGGGGGTCCAAAGGGTTAATATGGGCAAACGTAGGCGCTGGGGCAGAGGGTGCCCAAAGGGTTAATATGGGCAAACGTAGGGGCTGGGGCCGAGGGGGTCCAAAGGGTTAATATAGGCAAACGTAGGCGCTGGGGCAGAGGGGGCCCAAAGGGTTAATATGGGCAAACGTAGGCGCTGGGGCGAGAGGGGGTCCAAAGGGTTAATATAGGCAAACGTAGGCGCTGGGGCAGAGGGGGCCCAAAGGGTTAATATGGGCAAACGCAGGCGCTGGATCAATGATTGTGTAAAGGGTTAATGGGGTGACGCAGCACTTAGACGTCTCTGTTAGAGGGTGCGGAGCCCAGAAATGGGTGAACTGAGATCAGGAAAGGGTTAAGATGACTGGTTGCTGCCTGGCAGGGAAGAGGTTAATGTGATATCGGGGACATGGCTGGCGCTGTGTAGTGTTCCAGACCCGCCGATCGTTTTGAACCCTTTTCAGCAGCTCCAGCAGTACATCGACTCCACTAAAAGTGTCTGACACGGCGGGGGTTAACCCGGGGGTGGGGTTAGGATGGGGGGGGGGGGCGCTGCCTGGCACACGAGGGGTTAATGAGGGTGATGGAGGTGAAACTTGGTGTGGGAGGGGCTCACACGCCCCAGTCTGGGTACACAGTGATTCAGGACTGAGTCAGGGACCGTCATCTACCCCCCCCCCCCCCACCTACCTCACCCTTGGTGCAACTCTAAGGCAGGTAAGTACCAAGGGGGTCTGATTCCTGGATGATGATCACCTATCCACTGTGCCCATTATGAGGGGTTCCCACCATCCCTGTGCCCATTATGAAGGGTTCCCACCATCCCTGTGCCCATTATGAGGGGTTCCCACCATCCCTGTGCCGAGTTCCCGGGTCTGTACCCCCGCTGTGCCCATTATGAGGGGTTCCCACCATCCCTGTGCCCATTATGAGGGGTTCCCACCATCCCTGTGCTGAGTTCCTGGGTCTGTACTCCAGCTGTGCCCATTATGAGGGGTTCCCACCATCCCTGTGCCGAGTTCCTGGGTCTGTACTCCAGCTGTGCCCATTGAGGGGTTCCCACCATCCCTGTACCCATTATGAGAGGTTCCCACCATCCCTGTGCTAAGTTCCCGAATCTGTACACCCGCTGTGTCCATTATGAGGGGTTCCCACCATTCCTGTGCCGAGTTCCCGGGTCTGTACCCCCGCTGTGCCCATTATGAGGGGTTCCCACCATCCCTGTGCCGAGTTCCCGGGTCTGTACACCCGCTGTGTCCATTATGAGGGGTTCCCACCATCCCTGTGCCGAGTTCCCGGGTCCGTACACCCGCTGTGCCCATTATGAGGGGTTCCCACCATCCCTGTGCTGAGGTCCCAGGTCTGTGCTCCAGCTGTGCCCATTGAGGGGTTCCCACCATCCCTGTACCCATTATGAGAGGTTCCCACCATCCCTGTGCTGAGTTCCCAGGTCTGTACCCTCGCTGTGCCTATTATGAGGGGTTCCCACCATCCCTGTGCTGAGTTCCCAGGTCTGTACCCCCGCTGTGCCCATTATGAGGGGTTCCCACCATCCCTGTGCCGAGTTCCCGGGTCTGTACACCCGCTGTGTCCATTATGAGGGGTTCCCACCATCCCTGTGCCGAGTTCCCGGGTCCGTACACCCGCTGTGCCCATTATGAGGGGTTCCCACCATCCCTGTGCTGAGGTCCCAGGTCTGTGCTCCAGCTGTGCCCATTGAGGGGTTCCCACCATCCCTGTACCCATTATGAGAGGTTCCCACCATCCCTGTGCTGAGTTCCCAGGTCTGTACCCTCGCTGTGCCTATTATGAGGGGTTCCCACCATCCCTGTGCTGAGTTCCCAGGTCTGTACCCTCGCTGTGCCTATTATGAGGGGTTCCCACCATCCCTGCTGAATAACAGTGCAGCAGGAGAAGTGAGACTCCACAATGGATGGATCTGGTATCGGTGGGGTCAGGCAGGGAGGGGGTATTTGGGGTAGTTCACATGGTAGGGATGGTGGGACTGTAGTTGGGGGTCAGTGGGGTCGGGCAGGTTGGGGGGGATTGTCAGCGAAGGTCACAGTCGTCATCCACCCATAACTGAATATCAGGTCCAGGTGGAGCTGTGGGGGGTTGAGCCCCCTTTGTACTGCGCTCCCCTCTCTGTCAGCCCCGGCTGGGATGGATCCTGATGATGATGGTGGGGGGGCCGTCTGTGGATGAGCCCCCCTTGGTACTGCGCTCCCCTCTCTGTCAGCCCCGGCTGGGATGGATCCTGATGATGGTGGTGGGGCTGTGGGGGGGGGACGTCTGTGGATGAGCCCCCTTTGTACTGCGCTCCCCTCTCTGTCAGCCCCGGATGGCCCGGCTGGGATGGATCCTGATGGTGGTGGTGGTGGGGCTGTGGGGGGGGGTTTTCTATGTGGATGAGCCCCCTTTGTACTGCGCTCCCCTCTCTGTCAGCCCTAGTCCGGCTGGGATGGATCCTGATGATGATGATTTGTGGGGGGGGCGTCTGTGTGGATGAGCCCCCTTTGTACTGCGCTCCCCTCTGTCAGCCCCGGCTGGGATGGATCCTGATGATGGTGGGGGCTGTGGGGGGGCCGTCTGTGGATGAGCCCCCTTTGTACTGCGCTCCCCTCTCTGTCAGCCCCGGATGGCCTGGCTGGGATGGATCCTGATGGTGGTGGGGCTGTGGGGGGGGGGGGGGAGGAGTCTATGTGGGATGAGCCCCCTTTGTACTGCGCTCCCCTCTCTGTCAGCCCCGGCTGGGTTGGGTCCTGATGATGACGGGAGTTGTGGGGGGGGGCCGTCTGTGGATGAGAACCCTTTGTACTGCGCTCCCCTCTCTGTCAGCCCCGGATGGCCCGGCTGGGATGGATCCTGATGATGGTGGAGCTGTGGGGGGGGGACGTCTATGTGGATGAGCCCCCTTTGTACTGCGCTCCCCTCTCTGTCAGCCCCGGATGGCCCGGCTGGGATGGATCCTGATGATGATGGTGGAGCTGGGGGGGGGGGGGGGGGACGTCTATGTGGATGAGCCCCCTTTGTACTGCGCTCCCCTCTCTGTCAGCCCCGGATGGCCCGGCTGGGATGGATCCTGATGATGGTGGAGCTGTGGGGGGGGGGGGGCCGTCTATGTGGATGAGCCCCCTTTGTACTGCGCTCCCCTCTCTGTCAGCCCCGGCTGGCCCGGCTGGGATGGGTCCTGATGATGACGGGAGTTGTGGGGGGGCCGTCTGTGGATGAGCCCCCTTTGTACTGCGCTCCCCCCTCTCTGTCAGCCCCGGCTGGGATGGGTCCTGATGATGACGGGAGTTGTGGGGGGGCCGTCTGTGGATGAGCCCCCTTTGTACTGCGCTCCCCTCTCTGTCAGCCCCGGCTGGGATGGGTCCTGATGATGACGGGAGTTGTGGGGGGGGCCGTCTGTGGATGAGCCCCCTTTGTACTGCGCTCCCCTCTCTGTCAGCCCCGGCTGGGATGGGTCCTGATGATGACGGGAGTTGTGGGGGGGGCCGTCTGTGGATGAGCCCCCTTTGTACTGCGCTCCCCTCTCTGTCAGCCCCGGCTGGGATGGGTCCTGATGATGACGGGAGTTGTGTAAACACGGACGGGATGTTTTATCCCCAGAAATGTGGCCAGTTGGCTCCTCCTGTTGATCTGCGGTCAGCACAGCCGCACGGATGGATGGATGGACGCCACAGCTGGTCGGATGGATGGATGGACGCCACAGCTGGTCGGATGCGGTCTGGCGGGTGTCCTAACCCCCCCCCGGCTTCTTCATTCTCCCCGATATAAACAGCGGGTCCTCTTCACATTCGGGGCTCCATCCAGAACCGGCCATTCAGTTTTCGGTGGCTGCTGGAGGGTTGAAGTGCCTGACAACCCGGCTGGGGACCCCCCCCCCATCCTCTACAGTTCTCTATATGGAGGGCTGTCTGAATTCCACCTGAATGCTGAGTGCTGTGCCCCTCCCCCAGTGCCTGCAACATGTCAGTCTCTACAGCTGATCACCGTCTATCCTCTCCCTCTGCCAGCCTGATCTGATATTTCAGGAGGTGTGCATGGAGGGGGGGTGATGGGAGGTTTGCCAGTTTCCCACCTCTTTGCAGCTCCATAGATGGTTGGAATCCATGAGCTGTGCCTGGAAAATCACTTGTTGCCATCAGATTCAGCAGGATTTTCACAGTGCTTCTAAGCAGGTTTTCCGCCTCTTGTTACATGATTCTCTGCTCTTCATCTGGAAGCTGCTGGTGGCCCCAGCGAATCTGGGGACAGTCAAGGGATGGGGGTGGCTGTTGGGACCAGCAGGAGTGCCCAGTGCAGCCGGTAAATGTCACATGATGGGGCGTGGCTTCAGAAAACCGTAAACTATAGAAAACAAAATCCCAAATCTCATCTTTACATTTTATTGTCATTTTCAGTGTTTTTAAATCTTCCGTTTTCATCAAAGTAATGCCTGGAGATCCCGCCATGGAGGTCCCGGGTCAGACTTCCTGTGGTTAGGGTGACAACGCTCTGTCCGTGTCTCCCATTTGTTCTCCTGTGGTGTCACCCAGGCTTCCACCAGTGACCAGTCATTACTCCTTACCCAAACCAGGTCCACTGGTGTCAGTCAGGACCCCCCCCCTGAGAATTTGCATCTAGCTGGAATGCCTGAAATGGCTGCAAAGAGGCTGGGGGCGGAGGCGGAGGCTGGGCGGAGGGCGGGCCTCCTGTGGCTGGGGGCGGAGCGGCGGGCCTCCTGTGGCTGGGGGCGGAGCGGCGGCCTCCTGTGGCTGGGGGCGGAGCGGGGGCCTCCTGAGGCTGTGGCTGCGGGTGGTGTGGCGGGCCTCTTGCAGCTGTGGCGGACCTCCTGTGGCTGGGGCGGTGTGGCGGACCTCCTGTGGCTGGGGGCGGTGTGGCGGGCCTCTTGCAGCTGTGGCTGGGGGCGGTGCGGCGGCCTCTTGCAGCTGTGGCTGGGGGTGGTGAGGCTGTGGGCTTTCTGTGGCTGCGGGTGTGCGGCGGGCCTCTTGTGGCTGGGGGTGGTGAGGCTGAGGCTGCGGTCCTCCTGAGGCTGTGGCTGCGGGCGGTGTGACGGGCCTCTTGTGGCTGGGGGTGGTGAGGCTGCGGCTGTGGGCCTGCTGTGGCTTGGGGTGGTGGCTGCGGGCCTCCTGAGGCTGTATGTGGCGCGGCGGGCCTCTTGCGGCTGGGGGTGGTGTGGCTGAGGCTGTGGTCCTCCTGAGGCTGTGGCTGGGGGTGGTGAGGCTGCGGGCCTTCTGTGGCTGGGGGTGGGGGTGGTGAGGCTGCAGTCCTCCTGAGGCTGTGGCTGCGGTTGGTGAGAGCTGCGGTCCTCCTGAGGCTGCGGTCCTCCTGAGGCTGTGGCTGGGGGTGGTGAGGCTGCGGTCCTCCTGTGGCGGGTGGTGAGGCTGTGGTCCTCCTGAGGCTGTGGCTGGGGGGTGAGGCTGCGGTCCTCCTGAGGCTGTGGCTGGGGGTGTGGGTGGTGAGGCTGTGGTCCTCCTGAGGCTGTGGCTGGGGGTGGTGAGGCTGTGAGGGTCTCCTGTGGTGAGGCTGCGGTCCTCCTGGGGCTGTGGCTGGGGGTGGTGAGGCTGGGTCCTCCTGAGGCTGTGGCTGGGCTGGGGTGGTGAGGCTGTGGTCCTCCTGAGGCTGTGGCTGTGTGGCTGGGGGTGGTGAGGCTGTGGTCCTCCTGAGCTGTGGTCCTCCTCCTGAGGCTGTGGCTGGGGGTGGTGAGGCTGTGACTGCGGTGAGCTGGGGTGGTGCGGCTGCGGTCCTCCTGAGGCTGTGGCTGGGGTGGTGAGGCTGTGGTCCTCCTGAGGCTGTGGCTGGGGGTGGTGAGGCTGTGGTCCTCCTGAGGCTGTGGCTGGGGGTGGTGAGGCTGTGGTCCTCCTGAGGCTGTGGCTGGGGGTGGTGAGGCTGTGGTCCTCCTGAGGCTGTGGCTGGGGTGGTGAGGCTGTGGTCCTCCTGAGGCTGTGGCTGGGGGTGGTGAGGCTGTGGTCCTCCTGAGGCTGTGGCTGGGGGGGCTGTGGTCCTCCTGAGGCTGTGGCTGGGGGTGGTGAGGCTGTGGTCCTCCTGAGGCTGTGGCTGGGGGTGGTGAGGCTGCGGGCCTTCTGTGGCTGTGGCTGGGGGTGGGGGTGGTGAGGCTGCAGTCCTCCTGAGGCTGTGGCTGGGGTGGTGAGGCTGTGACTGCGGTCCTCCTGTGGGTGGTGAGGCTGTGGTCCTCCTGTGGCTGCGGGTGGTGAGGCTGTGGTCCTCCTGAGGCTGTGGCTGGGGGTGGTGAGGCTGTGACTGCGGTCCTCCTGTGGCTGGGGGTGGTGAGGCTGCGGGCCTTCTGTGGCTGGGGTGGGGGTGGTGAGGCTGCGGTCCTCCTGAGGCTGTGGCTGGGGGTGGTGAGGCTGTGGCTGGGGGTGGTGAGGCTGCGGTCCTCCTGAGGCTGTGTGTGGGGGGGGGGGGCTCTTCAACCTCAGGAAATGGCAGTGACCTCCGGAAGGTCAGGAGGTGACCTCTGTCAGATGCGGCAGTCGATCTCCTCCATCGTTGTGTTCATGTCGGAGGAGCTGCGCTGGATCCGCCGCCACTTAGGGACGAGTTTTATTGTCTCCCTGGAACGCAGCGAGTGTCATATCGATCCGCTTCTCTCACTGATGAATATTTAATGTCCTCTAATGTATGGAAGAGCCGGAGATCAGCCGGCGGTAAATCTGTACAAGGAGCCGTGTCCCTGGCAGGGGCCGTGGAGGGGCCACAGAGGGCCGGCGGGGCGTATTCTCCGGCCTCATATCTGGAGGACGTTCCCATTCCACAGTAATACTAATTGGCCCTCAGAGAAGGAAATCTCATTTGTTGTTCTGATGACGACGTTATAAAACGATACATTGTTGTTATAGACGATCGCTCCTCATTCTGGGCGACACAGAAGACGATTATTGGATACATTGTTGTTCTGTCGTCTATTCCGCTAATTATTATTATTCCTAGGAGGATACATTGTTCTGTAGACTATATATAGGGACCGGGCGGACTGATCATTTGGAAACTTGGGCACTGCCCGAGGGCCCGGGGTCAGTAGGGGGCCCCATGAGATGCCCCTGGTACCTTTTTCATAGGCTTTTTTGAGTGTGGGCAAGGACACAGGGGCCCCATGATCCCCTATTGCCCGGGGGCCCCATGAGTTGTCCGTCTGCCCCTGGTAGGGAAGGTTATTATAAAATGAGTGATTTCTCTTCATAATAAACAATGTATCCTTCTAGGATGTCCAGAATTAGGATTTCCTGAACCCCTTTTGGGGTTTTTTTTTGTTTTTTTCCCCTTCAGTATAGATTTTGGGGATTTACTCCACACTGAAGCTGTGATGATCCAGCCGGCCGACAGGATGGAGGAGTTTTCTTTACTCCACTTTTTATAATCCATTTACTTGGATACATTGTGTGTGGGGGGGGGGGGGGGGGGGGGAGCGAAGTGACAGATCCCTGTGGTTGTGATCTGTGGGGGGAGGGGGGCTCCGTAGATAATGGCCCCTGTCCTTCCTTTTATCTCTGTACTTTCCTCACCACATGGAGGATTGGAGACAACCGAGCCGAGATCACCGAAGAAACGAGCCGAGCCGAGATCACCGAAGAAACGAGCCGAGCCGAGATCACCGAGAAAGTGTCAGAGTAATAAAATGGAGTCATTATTATTCATGTAATATATATTCTTATTAGCAATAAATTATAGTATTTTTTTGTTTAACCCCTTCCTACCCCCCCGGGCACTTCTACCCCCTTCCTACCCCCTGGGCACTTCTACCCCCTTCCTGCCCCCCGGGCGCTTCTACCCCCTTCCTGCCTACCGGGCACTTCTACCCCCTTCCTGCCTACCGGGCACTTCTACCCCCTTCCTGCCTACCGGGCACTTCTACCCCCTTCCTACCCCCCCGGGCACTTCTACCCCCTTTCCTGCCTACAGGGCGCTTCTACCCCCTTCCTGCCCCCCGGGCACTTCTACCCCCCCTTCCTGCCCCCCGGGCACTTCTACCCCCCCTTCCTGCCCCCCGGGCACTTCTACCCCCTTCCTGCCCCCCGGGCACTTCTACCCCCTTCCTGCCCCCCGGGCACTTCTACCCCCTTCCTGCCCCCCGGCACTTCTACCCCCTTCCTGCCCCCCGGCACTTCTACCCCCTTCCTGCCCCCCGGGCACTTCTACCCCCTTCCTGCCCCCCGGGCACTTCTACCCCCTTCCTGCCCCCCGGGCACTTCTACCCCCTTCCCGCCCACAGGACACTTCTACCCCCTTCCCGCCCACAGGACACTTCTACCCCCTTCCCGCCCACAGGACACTTCTACCCCCTTCCCGCCCACAGGACACTTCTACCCCCTTCCCGCCCACAGGACACTTCTACCCCCTTCCCGCCCACAGGACACTTCTACCCCCTTCCCGCCCACAGGACACTTCTACCCCCTTCCCGCCCACAGGACACTTCTACCCCCCCTTCCCGCCCACAGGACACTTCTACCCCCTTCCCGCCCCACAGGACACTTCTACCCCCTTCCCGCCCACAGGACACTTCTACCCCCCTTCCTGCCTCCCGGGCACTTCTACTCCCTTCCTGCCTACAGGGCACTTCTACCCCCTTCCTGCCTCCCGGGCACTTCTACCCCCTTCCTGCCTCCCGGGCACTTCTACCCCCTTCCTGCCTCCCGGGCACTTCTACCCCCTTCCCGCCTACCGGACACTTCTACCCCCTTCCCGCCCACAGGACACTTCTACCCCCTTCCTGCCTCCCGGGCACTTCTACCCCCTTCCTGCCTCCCGGGCACTTCTACCCCCCTGCCTACAGGGCACTTCTACCCCCTTCCCGCCTACAGGGCACTTCTACCCCTTCTACCCCCTTCCTGCCTCCCGGGCCGGGCGCTTCTACCCCCTTCCTGCCTCCCGGGCGCTTCTACCCCCTTCCTGCCTCCCGGGCGCTTCTACCCCCTTCCTGCCTCCCGGGCGCTTCTACCCCCTTCCTGCCTACAGGGCGCTTCTACCCCCTTCCTGCCTACAGGGCGCTTCTACCCCCTTCCTGCCTACAGGGCGCTTCTACCCCCTTCCTGCCTACAGGGCGCTTTCACCCCTTCCTGCCTACAGGACGCTTCTACCCCCATCCTGCCTACAGGGCACTTCTACTCCCCTTCCCCCCCAGGCCAATTTCCAGCTTTCAGCGCTATCACACTTTGACAATTGCGCGGTCATGCAACACTGGACCCATATGAAATTTTTATCATTTTTTTGTGACAGAGCTTTATTTTGGTATTTAATCACCTCGGGGATTTTATTTTTTTCTTAAACCAAAAACCACTGAAAATTAAAAAAAAAAATTTCTTAGTTTGTTGTAAAATGTTGTAAATAAGTGATTTTTCTCCCTCACTGATGTGTGCTAATGAGGCTGCAGTGATGGGCACTGATAGGTGGCACTGATAGGCAGCTCAGATGGGCACTGATATGTGGCATTGATTTGGCACTGACAGGTGGCACTGCTGGGGCTGCACTACTCATCAGTGCCCTGATCAGTGTAGATGTCCCCTCTGAGGAATGCTGATTACCAGCTCTCCGCTCCTCTCCTCTGTCAGCGTGACAGCTTGGGAGGAATGCTGATAACCGGCATTTCTCTGTTTACATGTGATCAGCTGTGATTGGACACAGCTGATCACGTGACCGAGCCGACATCTTTGGCTCTTTCCATCGATTGGTGATCGCTGTGTCTGAGGGAGAATGGGGGGACATCATATGACGTTCTCTCGTTCTCGTTCTCGTCTCGGCGGGAGGTGGTTTAAAAGAAAAAAAAAAGTGTGTGATGTGAAGCAGCCAATCAGAATTCAGCTTGGAGTAGGCTGATTATAAAAAATACTTTCTGCCTTATCTGGAAGGGCGGAGCCTATAATGTGAGTGTTGGGGCCCATATTTTGTAGGTGGGCCAAGACATGAAAGGTCAGGGCCTGTATTTTAGAGGCGGGGGCCTGTATCTGAAAGAATGGGGCACATATCTGAGAGGCGGGGCCTAGATCTGTAAGGGAAGGGCCTGTGTGTGTGAGGCGGGGCCTATATATAAAAGGGTGGGGTCTGTATCTTTGGCGGGCCTATATCTGAAGGGGCGGGGTTTGTATTTGAGAGGTGGAACCTATATCTGAAACAATGGGGTCTGTATCTGAGATGGTGTGGTCTGTATCAGAGAAGGCGGGGTCTATATCTGAGAGGTGGGGGCCTATATCTAAAAGGGAGGGGTCTGCATCTGAGAAGGCGGGGTCTGTATCTGGGATGGTGGGCTCTATATCTGAGAGGCAGGGCATATACCGAAAAGGCTGGGGGTCTGCATCTGAGAGGCGGTGCCTATATCTGTAAGGGAGGGGTCTGTATCAGAGAAGGTGGGGTCTGTATCTGAGAGGCGGGGCATATACCTGAAAGGCTGGGGGTCTGCATCTGAGAGGCGGTGCCTATATCTGTAAGGGAGGGTTCTGTATCAGAGAAGGTGGGGTCTGTATCTGAGAGGCGGGGCATATACCTGAAAGGGTGGGGACTGCATCTGAGAGGGGGAGTCTACATCTGTAAGGGAGGGGTCTGTATCAGAGAAGGCGGGGTCTGTATCTGGGATGGTGGGGTCTATATCTGTAAGATAGGGGCCTGTGTCTGAGAAGGTGGGGCCTGTGTCTGAGAGGCGGAGCCTATATCTGTAAGGGAGGGGTCTGTATGAGAGGCAGGGCCTATATTTTGGAGGAGGGGCCTGTGTGTTTCCCGTGTCCTGGCCTCTCCCAGATTGCATGTTTACCACCAATCAGCGACTCCCCAACCAGTGATTGGTGGGTGAGGACGATGGCCCCGGGGTCGGCAGCTCGCATATTTCTCTCCTGATTGGTCCACTTTAACTAGAAAGCCCCTCCTCCAGTTTGGGGGTAGACACGCCCACAGGCAGAGGGTTTTTCTGCAGCCAGTAGGATCTCTCCGTCCAATGGGGGGCCGGTAAATGAAGTGGGAACTCCGCCCGGTCATGGTCTGGCTCTGCAGCGTGGTCGGTGGGTTCCATCTCCGGTCTGGTCCAGCAAATCTGTGGCTGGTAAAATGGTAGATGTTGGGCCTTGTCCTGTGGCCCCCAGGGGCCGATTGCGGTCTGGGGTCACTTGTGTATCTGCTCCATCCGGCATCTTCCCAGAAGGGCGATCCCTTTCCATGTCTCCCCCTCCCTGTTCCGGGGTGTAAGGTGATCCCCGCATCGGCCGCTCATGTCCTCTCTGGGATTGTTCTATTGAACGACGCGTCCTGCCCCCCCCCCCCCCCCCCCCCCCCGCCACACCCCCGCGCTCCATCCTCCCGCCGCGCTCCATCCTCCTTTGTCTTTTTGCGGAATCAGATCCAATGTAATTACCTGTTACCCGCCTCTCTCCCTATTATTAGCCGCGCAGCCTCTTACGTGGGCCCCAGCCTGCGCTCGCCGTTCCCATGGCAACAGGTTCCCCCGGCTGCGGCCGGCACTGCGCTGTGTTATGGTAATGAATGGTGTGCGGTCCGTGTCATCATCACCAGCACCGTTCTCCTCCTCACCTTCACGGGACTCTGAATGGGGCCCACAGGAGTCTGAATAGGGCCACGGTCCCTGCTGGGGGATGGGACAGGAAATGTACAGGAAGGTATATAATGTGCGGGAAAGTGCTTCCATCTCCGCAAAACTTTCCCAAACCTTCCACACCACAATGGCCAGAGAGATTCCTCTCCTCTATCCGGGGGGGGGGGGGTACAAAGTGGTACAAAGGGGGGGGGGGCACAAAGTGTGTACAATGAGGGGGGGGGGGGGCACAAAGTGTGTACAATGAGGGGGGGGGGGGGGGGGGGGCACAAAGTGTGTACAATGGTGGGGGGGGGCACAAAGTGTGTACAATGAGGGGGGTGGGGCACAAAGTGTGTACAATGAGAGGGCCATGAGGGCCCGGGGGGGCACAAAGTGTGTACAATGAGGGGGGGGGGCCACAAAGTGGTGGGTACAATGAGGAGGGGGGGGGCACAAAGTGTGTACAATGAGGAAGGGGGGGGTGTGTACAATGAGGGGACCGGGGGGGGGCCACACAGTGTGTACAATGAGGCGACGGGGGGGGGGGGGGGGGGCCACAACCTGGTGCGTACAATGAGGTGACGGGGGGCACAATGAGGGGACCGGGGGGGGGGGGCCACACAGTGTGTACAATGAGGGGGGGGGGGCACAAAGTGTGTACAATGAGGGGGGGGCACAAAGTTGTGTACAATGAGGGTGGGGGGGGCACAAAGTACAATGAGAGGGGGGGGCACAAAGTGTGTACAATGAGGGGGGGGGTGCACAAAGTGTGTTACAATGGGGGGGGGGCACAAAGTGTGTACAATGAGGGGGGGGGGGCACAAAGTGTGTACAATGAGGGGGGGGCACAAAGTGTGTACAATGAGGGGGGGGGCACAAAGTGTGTACAATGAGGGGGGGGGCACAAAGTGTGTACAATGAGGATGTGGGGGGCACAAAGTGTGTACAATGAGGGGGGGGGGCACAAAGTGTGTACAATGAGGGGGGGGCACAAAGTGTGTACAATGAGGGGGGGGGCACAAAGTGTGTACAATGAGGGTGGGGGGGGCACAAAGTGATGTACAATGAGGGGGGGCACAAAGGTTGTGACAATGAGGGGGGGGGCACAAAAGTGTGTACAATGAGGGGGGGGGGGGGGGCACAAAGTGTGTACAATGAGGGGGGGGGGGCACAAAGTGTGTACAATGGGGGGGGGGGGCACAACAGTGTGTACAATGAGGGGGGGGGGGGCACAAAGTGTGTACAAAATGAGGGGGGGGGGGGGGGCACAGGGTGTGTACAATGAGGGGGGGGGACCACAGGTGTACATGGGGGGCCACAGTGTGTACAATGAGGTGACGGGGGGGGGGGGGGGGGGCCACAACCTGTGGTACAATGAGGGGACGGGGGCACAAAGAGTGTGTTTGCAATGAGGGGGGGGGGGGGGGGGGCACACATGTGTGTACAATGAGGGGACCGGGGGGGGCCACAATGCGTTGTACAATGAGGCGACGGGGGGGGGGAGGGGGCCACAAACCTGTGCACAATGAGGTTGACGGGGGGGGCACATGTGTGTACAATGAGGGGGGGCACATGTGTGTACAATGAGGGGACGGGGGGGGTGGGTGTACAATGGGGGGACAGGGGGGGGGGGTGCATACATGTGTGTACAATGAGGTGGGGGGGGGGGGGGGGGGGGGGGCACAGCGTGTGTACAATGAGGTGACGGGGGGGGGGGTGTGTACAATGAGGTGACGGGGGGGGCACAGCGTGTGTACAATGAGGTTTCCGACGGGGGGGCACAGCGTGTACAATGGGGGGGCACAGCGTGTGTACGAGGGTGACGGGGGGGGGAGGCATGTGTGTACAATGAGGGGGGCCACAGGGTGACGGGGGGGGGGCACAGCGTGTGTACGAGGTGACGGGGGGGGGGGGGGGGGGCACGTGTGTACAATGGGCCCACGCAGGAGGGATTGTGGGGGGACGAGGACTGCCATTTATACAGACAGGGATAGGTCTTCTCTCCTTCTCTCCACACACAGGGAGACTATATGGGGAGACTGGAGGAGGAGGAGGAGGTGGTGTCTCCTCAAAGTTACAATGTACAGTCTGATCACTGCCTGCAGCACACTGAGGACCTCCTCTGTGCCTAGGCAGAGTCACTGATGGGAGATTTCCGGAACTCCGACTCCATCTGTAGAGTCATCAGAGGTGTTTTTATAATCCTTCAGTGGGGGGGGGGGGATACATGGAGGGTGACTGTGTGACACTATGGGAGCTCCAGAGCCCCAGCGCAGTGCTATGGTGCCGGACGGACACATGGAGGATGTTTTGTTATTTACAGATAGTCAGTCTGGTCATTTGGAGTGCAGCAAATAATCTCTGGTGATGATCGGCTCATAAACGATCGTTGTCTGCAGACGCAGTACTCTCCATATTTCTATTACCCCCCCCCATGTGTGTGTGTGAACCCCATATAGCTGTGTATTGCCCCCCCCCATATAGCTGTGTATTGCCCCCCCCCCGTATAGTAGTAGTTTGTGTTGCCCCTCCCCCATATTCCGGCATCAGACCCCCCTATATACTTGTATTGCCCCCCCCCCCTATAGCTGTGTATTGCCCCCCCCATAGCTGTGTATTGCCCCCCCCCCTATAGCTGTGTATTGCCCCCCATATAGTTTGTTGCCCCTCCCCCATATTCCAGCATCAGACCCCTATAGCTGTGTATTGCCCCCCCCTATAGCTGTGTATTGCCCCCCCCTATAGCTGTGTATTGCCCCCCATATAGTTTGTTGCCCCTCCCCCATATTCCAGCATCAGAGCCCTATATACCTGTGTTGCCCCCCCATATACCCGTGTATTGCCCCCCCCATATAGCTGTGTATTGCCCCCCATATATATGTTGCCCCTCCCCCATATTCCGGCATCAGACCCCTATATACCTGTGTTGCCCCCCCCTCATATAGCTGTGTATTGCCCCCCATATAATATGTTGCCCCTCCCCCATATTCCGGCATCAGACCCCTATATACCTGTGTTGCCCCCCCCCCATATAGCTGTGTATTGCCCCCCATATAATATGTTGCCCCTCCCCCATATTCCGGGATCAGACCCCTATATACCTGTGTTGCCCCCCCCCCCCCCATATAGCTGTGTATTGCCCCCCATATAATATGTTGCCCCTCCCCCCATATTCCGGCATCAGACCCCCATATACCTGTGTACAGCATGGCGTTGGTGTTGGATTGTGTGATCCGATGTGATGAGTCCTCTCGGGGGGGGGGGGATCCTGCCAGGTAATGCTCCATCCCCTGTGGCTGAGTACATGGCGCAATCATTGTACCGCGCTGACTCCATGCAGCTTTCCTCTACACTCAAAGAGGAGGCGATTAAAGCTCCACTCCAGGCAGATCTAAAGACAAATTAATGCAGCTCTGGAATCCCTCCGACATCCCATCAAACTAGGACAGGGGTACCGGCTCCACTCCTGGACTGAAAGGGATATCGCCGCACACTGTGAGCTTCTTACAATGTGCAGCCAGTCAGAACTCCCGCCCTATTTCTTGGCTGGAGGACATCCAGCATCATCTAGCCCTTCCCTCCCCAGTCTGACTATCCCTGGTCCCGCCCCTTTCTGACTGACTGGTGGTCAGTGGGAAGAATGTCCCTTACATTGGGGGTCAGTGGGAAGAATGTCCCTTACATTGGTGGTCAGTGGGAAGAATGTCCCTTACATTGGTGGTCAGTGGGAAGAATGTCCCTTACATTGGGGGTCAGTGGGAAGAATGTCCCTTACATTGGGGGTCAGTGGGAAGAATGTCCCTTACATTGGGGGTCAGTGGGAAGAATGTCCCTTACATTGGGGGGTCGGTGAGAAGAATGTCCCTTACATTGGGGGTCAGTGGGAAGAATGTGTCCCTTACATTGGTGGTCAGTGGGAAGAATGTCCCTTACATTGGTGGTCAGTGGGAAGAATGTCCCTTACATTGGTGGTCAGTGGGAAGAACGCCCCTTACATTGGTGATCAGTGGGAAGAATGTCCCTTACATTGGGGGTCAGTGGGAAGAACGTCCCTTACATTGGGGATCATGGGAAGAACGTCCCTTACATTGGGGGTCAGTGGGGGGAAGAACGTCCCTTACATTGGGGGGTCGGTGAGAAGAATGTCCCTTACACTGGGGGTCAGTGGGGGGAAGAATGTCCCTTACATTGGGGGGTCGGTGGAAGAATGTCCCTTACATTGGGGGTCAGTGGGAAGAATGTCCCTTACATTGGGGGTCAGTGGGAAGAATGTCCCTTACATTGGGGGTCAGTGGGAAGAATGTCCCTTACATTGGGGGTCAGTGGGAAGACGCCCCTTACATTGGTGATCAGTGGGAAGAATGTCCCTTACATTGGGGGTCAGTGGGAAGAACGTCCCTTACATTGGGGATCAGTGGGAAGAACGTCCCTTACATTGGGGGTCAGTGGGGGGAAGAACGTCCCTTACATTGGGGGGTCGGTGAGAAGAATGTCCCTTACACTGGGGGTCAGTGGGGGGAAGAATGTCCCTTACATTGGGGGGTCGGTGAGAAGAATGTCCCTTACATTGGGGGTCGGTGAGAAGAATGTCCCTTACACTGGGGGTCAGTGGGGGGAAGAATGTCCCTTACATTGGGGGTCAGTGGGGGGAAGAATGTCCCTTACACTGGGGGTCAGGGGGTCAGTGGGGGGGAAGAATGTCCCTTACACTGGGGGTCAGTGGGGGGAAGAATGTCCCTTACACTGGGGGGTCAGTGGGGGGAAGAATGTCCCTTACCGTGGGGGGAAGAATGTCCCTTACGTCGGGGGTCAGTGGGGGGGAAGAATGCTCCTTACGTCGGGGGTCAGTGGGTAGGATGGCCCTTACATTGAACCGTGGCTGAGAGGTTGGGTTGGACCCTTTGTGTGTTTTTGTTGTATCATTCCAGCTGGGAATTGTAGGAAGGTTCCACCAATGGGACTGGTTGTTGGGTATTTCTTCGTCTTCGGGCTCATTCGTGGTGATCGGTCAGGTGATCGCTATGCTGTGCTAAAAGCTTCGGTTTTCATGTCCATTACCGGCACGGAAAGGAAGTGGTTTAACCAGTTATGAAGATCAGGAAGTCCAGGAGGAGATGGTGTAGAGAGGAATGGGGACTACAAGTAAGCAGGAGGAGTGCAGGATGAAGAGGGGTAGGATGGGAAGTCCCTGGGGAGACGCACCATTTCCCACCAACATGGAGGTCTGGGGCTACGTCTCGGGTGATCAGGGCCTCCAGACCTTGTGGAATCTGCCGGAAATCACGACCTATTGCTGATGGTTTCTCGTTTGTCCGAGTATCCAGACGTTTTTTGTTTGACCTCCTAGGACTGTTGGGTTAGCTGGCTTCCATGCCTTTGCCCGTCTTTTTGGTGTCATTGCATCCCTCAGGCTTCAGGTTCAATAGGATGTCCTGAGGATTCTTGCATTCGGCTACCCAAGGCCCTATAAATGAGTTGCTGGACCCCAACCCAGAAACATCTGATTTTTTGGACAGTCCCACCAAATGCGTAGTGTACCCGTGTCATTGCATCCTCCACAGCAGAAGGGAAAACCTCCCTCTACAAGAACCCCTGTCAGGTTTTTATTGCTGTTCTCCCCCCTCTCCAGAGAGGTTCCCCCCTCTATTTGTCCTGGTGCCATTGGAGATGGGAGATTCAACGTTTGAGTTGTAACCTGAATAGAAGAGGAATGTTCCAGGGACAACCAACTTCCTGTTAGAAATCCCAGGCAGGAAGTAAAGGGAAATTCTCCCAATGGGACATCTGAGGGGTGTTCACCTTAAAGAAAAACAAAGTATTGGAGAAATACACCGACCATAACATTGAGCATCCACCATGACCCCACTAATACTGAGTCCTGACCTCAACCCCTGGGGACTGCCAGCCAGGCCCCCTCCCCCGACATCAGTGCCTGACCTGACAAATGTGCTTCTGGAAGAATGGTCCAACCTTCCCATAGACACCCTCCTAAACCTTGTGGACGGCCTTCCCAGAAGAGTTGAAGCTGTTATAGCCGCAAAGGGCGGGGCCAACTCAATATTGACCCCTACGGGCTAAGGCTGGGGGGCCATTAAAGGTCATGTGCGTGGAGAAGGCGGGGCCAACTCAATATTGGACCCTACAGACTAAGGCTGGGAGGCCATTACAGGTCGTGTGTGGAAAGGGCGGGGCCAACTCAATATTGAACCCTACGGACTAAGACTGGGGGGCCATTAAAGGTCATGTGCGTGGAAAGGGCGGGGCCAACTCAATATTGAACCCTACGGACTAAGACTGGGGGGCCATTACAGATCATGTGCGTGGAAAGGGCGGGGCCAACTCAATATTGAACCCTACGGACTAAGACTGGGGGCCATTACAGATCATGTGCGTGGAAAGGGCGGGGCCAACTCAATATTGAACCCTACGGACTAAGACTGGGGGGCCATTAAAGGTCATGTGTGTTGAAAGGGCGGGGCCAACTCAATATTGAACCCTACGGACTAAGACTGGGGGGCCATTAAAGGTCATGTGCGTGGAAAGGGCGGGGCCAACTCAATATTGAACCCTACGGACTAAGACTGGGGGGCCATTAAAGGTCATGTGCGTGGAAAGGGCGGGGCCAACTCAATATTGAACCCTACGGACTAAGACTGGCAGGCCATTAAAGGTCATGTGCATGGAAAGGGCGGGGCCAACTCAATATTGAACCCTACGGACTAAGACTGGGGGGCCATTAAAGGTCATGTGCATGGAAAGGGCGGGGCCAACTCAATATTGAACCCTACGGACTAAGACTGGGGGGCCATTAAAGGTCATGTGCATGGAAAGGGCGGGGCCAACTCAATATTGAACCCTACGGACTAAGACTGGGGGGCCATTAAAGGTCATGTGTGGGGAAAGGGCGGGGCCAACTCAATATTGAACCCTACGGACTAAGACTGGGGGGCCATTACAGGTCATGTGCGGGGGAAAGGGCGGGGCCAACTCAATATTGAACCCTACGGACTAAGACTGGGGGGGCCATTAAAGGTCATGTGCGTGGGAAGGGCGGGGCCAACTCAATATTGAACCCTACGGACTAAGACTGGGGGGCCATTAAAGGTCATGTGTGTGGAAAGGGCGGGGCCAACTCAATATTGACCCCTACGGACTAAGACTGGGGGGCCATTACAGGTCATGTGCGTGGAAAGGGCGGGGCCAACTTAATATTGAACCCTACGGACTAAGACTGGGGGGCCATTATAGGTCATGTATGTGGAAGGGTGGGGCCAACTCAATATTGAACCCTACGGACTAAGACTGGGAGGCCATTAAAGGTCATGTGTGTGGAAAGGGCGGGGCCAACTCAATATTGAACCCTACGGACTAAGACTGGGAGGCCATTAAAGGTCATGTGTGTGGGAAGGGCGGGGCCAACTCAATATTGAACCCTACGGACTAAGACTGGGGGGCCATTACAGGTCATGTGCGTGGAAAGGGCGGGGCCAACTTAATATTGAACCCTACGGACTAAGACTGGGGGGCCATTATAGGTCATGTATGTGGAAGGGCGGGGCCAACTCAATATTGAACCCTACGGACTAAGACTGGGGGGCCATTAAGGTCATGTGTGGTACGGCCGTCTGCCCAATACGTGTTGTGTGTGTGTGTGTACACCCCGCAATCAATCATACCATTGTCATCGTCTTCATTCCTCCATGTATTGGAATGTAACATTTGTCACCTTCGATGTTCTATTCGGATTCGTTGACTCCACGTTGGGTGTCCCCGGTGGGTGTGGGATCGGATTGTTCTGGAAGGAAGCTGATATGTGTCACTGTTGTCCATACCGGCCCCGGGGCAGCGGAAATCGCAGGTTATTGATTGGCGGTAGAACCGGTCACACCGGCTCGCCATCTCCGGGTCATTCTTGTGTCGGATCCGTCCGCTGAGTCATCTCACACTTTCTTTTGCTGGGCGATTCCTGGAAGCGATGATATTCTGCTGGTACTGTGGGCCCCCACCTCACCCCCCCCCCCCTCCATATCATCCAGCTGTCGGGGGAGGGAGGGGGCGCAGGCTGGCATGAGAACGTCTCCAAACATTAGGCAGGAATCCGTGTCCTGATTGGACAGATACGCTGTGTGATGGGACACCCAGGACAATTCGGGCCCCTGATGTGTTCTTCACCGATCGCCCAGATATCGCATCATCTGATTGTACAATCTCCTTCATGGTGGCCATACATGTAACCCCGTGATTTATCGAGAAGACACGCTGTGCTGTTCATCAATTGTGAGTGAAATCGATCGATTTCATGGCGATTGCTCGGTTTGGTCTGAATGGAGAATGAACAATTGTTTAATCTACTGACTTGGATTTTTCTGGAGAACGAATTGCTGATCATACGATTGTATAGCAAATGGTGCTGTGTATGGCTGCGATTCGATGTACCCAAACCTGCACAATGTGTTCCGTGTGCGTCCAACATGGCAGAGCCTCTCACTACAGAGCTGTTGGTAGAGATTATATCGATCGGACAATTGGATTGTATAGGGGAGGGCCACCTTATAGGCGATTGGACAATTGGATTGTATAGGGGAGGGCCATCATATATAGGAGATTGGACAATTGGATTGTATAGGGGAGGGCCATCTTATAGGCGATTGGACAATTGGATTGTATAGGGGAGGGCCATCGTATAGGAGATCGGACAATTGGATTGTATAGGGGAGGGCCATCTTATAGGCGATTGGACAATTGGATTGTATAGGGGAGGGCCATCGTATAGGCGATTGGACAATTGGATTGTATAGGGGAGGGCCATCTTATAGGAGATCGGACAATTGGATTGTATAGGGGAGGGCCATCTTATAGAAGATCGGACAATTGGATTGTATAGGGGAGGGCCATCGTATAGGAGATCGGACAATTGGATTGTATAGGGGAGGGCCATCTTATAGGCGATTGGACAATTGGATTGTATAGGGGAGGGCCATCGTATAGGAGATCGGACAATTGGATTGTATAGGGGAGGGCCATCGTATAGGAGATCGGACAATTGGATTGTATAGGGGAGGGCCATCGTATATGAGATCGGACAATGGATTGTATAGGGGAGGGCCATCATACAGAAGATCGAACAATTGGATTGTATAGGGGAGGGCCATCATACAGAAGATCGAACAATTGGATTGTATAGGGGAGGGCCATCATATAGGAGATCGGACAATTGGATTGTATAGGGGAGGGCCACCTATAGGACGGACAATTGGATTGTATAGGGGAGGGCCATCGTATAGGAGATCGGACAATTGGATTGTATAGGGGAGGGCCACCTTATAGGAGATTAGACAATTTAATTGTATAGTGTGTGTGGCGACCTTTTTTATTGGTAATGTTTGGACTTCTGCTTTTCCTCAACCCCCCCCGAATTGCCCCCGTGTTCCCTCTTGG